ACTGCCGAGTGCAGAGCAGCTTCGCCGGCGACTAAAGATGCAGATGTGACCCCCAAACTGCTCATCCGCTGCGTCCACAAAAAGCTCAGCGAGTCGGAGCTGTGAAATTTTTGCAAAAAAAGCTGCTGTTCAGGACCGGTTGGAAAGCAGCTTCGTTTCATACCGATTCCTTGACGCGGTCTTCCTTTCCGAAAAATAAACAGGAACCGTCTGGAAAGCCCAGGCGCGGGGCGGGGGGGGGGCGCAGACTTGCGTGCCTGCGCCCAAAATAAATACCTAGGCGCAGAGGGTCGAGTTCAGCCAGCTGCTCCATCCCCGGCGCGGCGAAAGGTGGGAAAGGGGTGAGCCCAAAGCTGGAAATCATCTCTTCTTTTGGTCCCGGTTCTTCCCCACCACCCCTTTCCCGTCGGCAGCGCCCACCCCTGCCAACCTTTGCTGCGTGAATCCGCGCGCGCTGCGACTTCTTCTCTGGTCCCCAGAAAAACAAGTGGTTTCTGCTCACTCCCAGCCGTTCTGGGGATTTTCAGCAAAGCCCCAAAATCTTTGCTTTTAGGTTTTTTTTTTTTTTTTCCCTGTGCTGCGAATGCTTTTCCAGTATTTCCAGGCGGCAGTGCGCCGCGAGGCTGGCAGCGCGCACAGAAACGTTGCAGAGATGCTGAATTAAAGATGAATTTTGTTCCGGGCGGGACTTCGAAATCGTCGAGAGACCCGACGCGCTTGCGTTGCATTAACGCCCGGCGCCTTCCTTAACGCAATCGTTTGAGTCCCTTGGACATCTGCTTTAGGAGGAGCGTTTACACGCTCAAAAAATGTATAGAGCTGCCTTTTAGTTGTTGAAAAACACTCATATTTTTCTCTGGCTGGGTGCTGGGGCTTTTTCTGCAGGGCAGCGGCGCTCTCAAGCCTGGGAGCTTCAGCGTACGCATCTGTAATCTCCCAATAGCACATTTTGGGACCAGCAGGAGAGGGCTCGCAAGAGCCGGCTGTTTCTTTTATTTGTTGTCGAGCGTCTCGAGTTCAAAATGAAAAAAGGCAAAAGCTCTAAAATCGAGGTGGGGGGGAATCAATACAGAGCTATGAGATTTTCGCCCTCGTTCTTTTGGCGATATTGCCCCCGCACGCAGCTCAGGCCCGCTCTCACGCAGCTGAACTTGGCTTTAACCTCACAGCAATATCCGCTGCTCACTCGACTGTTAAAGGTGAAACGGGGCTCGGAAAAACAAGCGACTCTCCTCCGCGCGCTGCCAAAGCTTGGCCCCTATGGGAGCCAAAAAAATCAGTATCGAGGGATTTTTAAAATGGTGAATGACTGTCATTAAGCACAAGTGCCCAGAGGGTGCTGCGCAAGCCACTGCTCATGGTTATCGGTGCGATTTGCTAAATGATCCCGCCAGCTCCTCAAGGCATGGAAAGCACCCCGAAAACCTGCACCGTTTTTCAAGGACTGTGCCGATACCTGCCGTTCCTTTGCATCCTTACAGCGGGCAGATTTTAACGGGCCTGTTCCAGCATTATTTTGAATGTTTTTTCCTTCACCCCCTCCAAATTTCTCCCGGTAAGATCGGAAAAAATGAGCTAGAGTTTTGTTCGACAGAGCACGTAGCACTCCTGATCCTCTGATTTCGGAGAGGGACTACTCCAATTCAAATCCCCAAACTCTTCCTCCAGAGAGCGGGAAGGCTGAGCTGTGCCACTTACAGAGACGACAGAGGAGTGAACGGCCAAAGGGACCATCCCCAACCATATGCCAAAGAGGGCGAATTTCCCCCAAAGCGTGGCCACCATGGGAAAAGGAGAAGCTCCTTCCGTGCTTGACGGTGAGGCTGTCACCACAGGGCTACAAAAGATGACATTCCTGGAGAAGAAATAAAGGCTACGTCAGGGGTTTCTTAGAGAGTTTTATTAGTCTTAAGCTTACATGAAAAAGGAGGGATAACAAACCAATCCTTGTGGATCCACTCAGTACAGCTCATTAAATCAAGTGTAGTGCAAAGAAGTGCACGGATTTCATTTCTCCTGTACCCAGAAAAAGAGAGGTTAAGAAGTCCTTTGCAGCATGCAGAGCACCACACTTCGCTTGCCTCACTGGCTCTTTCTAAGCTCTGAGAAACAGAAGCATTCAGCTTTAGGAAAGGCTCCTGTTCACCTTCCTGTTTTATTGCCATGAATGTGGGATTTCCTCTTCTCGAGGATTTACCCTGCTACTGAAGGAAAAAAAACAAAAAACAAAAAACCTCTCAGCTCTGCTAAAAATTATTAAAAGGTCAGAAGGGGCAGAGAGAGCATTAACCAAAGCCAACCCAAACTTTGAAAATCCATCGTTCAAGCAGACGTGGCTAGATCTTTGATTTCAGTCCCCTTTTTATCTTTGGCATCTCCCTGTTTTAGCTAAAAGCACAAAAAAAATTCAGAAGACCATTCAGTGCGGCACTCTGCAGCTGGCCACCACCTGGAACTACTGAAATCCTATCCTGGAAAGGTTTCTCATCTGATTTCTGTTCTACAGCTGTTTGGCTCTATTTGATATCCTTCCAACCCAGCGACAGTTTCCCATCCCTTTACAGAATGTGTACGTGGAAAATAGAGGTACAAGAGAAAGCAAATTCCTACAGAGGATGCTGTAGGAACGTTCATACAAATACACAGTAGAAATCCGTGATCAGCAGCATCAGCAAGGCCATCTCTGCCAGGACGCAGCTGTAACCCTGCGAGAGACACCAGCGTTTCTGGATGATTACCCAATCTCAAGTGCGCACGCACTGCCTCACCCCTCTCCAGCTTCTGGAAAGGGCCACAAATCCCCCAGAGCACCAGGAAAGCAATGCGAAGGCCTCTCCAGATGCCGCCCTTGCGATGCAGTGTCCGTGTCGGTGTGGGGCAGCTGCTCCCTGGGGATGCGGCTAGCTGGGACGGAGCGGTTTGGCGTACATCGGCTCGGCAATGTGGTAAACCAGGACCAGGAAGAGGCTCCCGAGAAAGACCAGGCTGAGGACGGCGAGGAGGACGTAGCGGCCGATGAAGAACGTGTCCACGATCTGCAGAGAGCAGAAAACACACAGGTTACAACGCCGACCAGGGCTCCAGGGGCCAGAAAAACCTGCAGCAGCTCTCACAGACCGCTGGCTGCCAAACTCCTGAGGACACTGGCGCGCACCTTCGCCCTGACAGGAACGGTATAATTCTTTCTTTTCAGAAGCAAGGGAAAAGTGGGGGGAAAAAAAAAGATGATTAAAAAGAAAAAAAAAGATACAGACTGCGAGGCAAGACAAGACAGACATAATAAGAGAAGCCAGCTGAAAGGCGGCTGGTTATGAAATCGTCCTCTCGGCTCCTGAGACGACCCCAGAGCTCTGCTTACCCCCGGCTCAGTTCTACAAAATGCATTAGCACAAGCTCAGCCTTGGTGTTGCTACAGGAAAAGTCTCCTGTGAGCGATCCGTTCGCTCCTTCACCATGTTTCACTTTTTAATTAGCCAATTAGCAGAGTTTCGGTGCAGAGAGCCCAGATCATGTATTATTGATAGTCAGGACAGGTCTAGTCCAACTGAAGATGCTAAAAAAGTAAGCTTCCTGTTTCTGTCAGCCTACTAGTCGCAAACGCTTCCTTGGCTGCCCTTTATCTCGGTGCCAACATTTACACAAGCAATTCACACCCAGGAAGGAGAAAATACAAAAATAAGGACCTTGCTTGTACCTTTTACTATACACATTGACACAAATCAATGTCTAGAAGAGTAATATTCCTCTGTGCATTAGTAACAGACCAGAGGAAGCAACACCTAAAAGTAAAATGACATAAAACTTGGTGTCTTCAGAACCCAAATAGCTAAGGAATCTCAGGTTGGCAGCTAAAACAGCAACGGCACAGGCAGCCTGTCGTGGTCAGAAATCGCGAGATCGCAGCATCCGAACTCTGGCTGACAACACAAACAAGAGGCAGCGGTTATAAAAACACAGACGGCTCCATGCTCAGACGGCAATAACCTACAAAAGAGTGAAAAGAGCAGTTACCGGGCTTTAAAACAGGGCACCCGCAGAGGCTGGGGAAAGTGAAAGGCAGCCGAATTAGAAAACTAATGGATAATGGCACATAAAGAAGGGATTTTGTTATGGAAAATCCATCCCCGAGGCAACGGCCCATCCTCGGGGAGGCTGTCGGTGATGCCCGAGGTAATGGCTGTCCTTGGGGTGGCCGTGGGGAACATCCGTGGGGAACATCCGTGTGACAGCCTTCCCCAGAGGGGCTGTCAGGGAGGTCCCTGAGGGAACGGCCGGTCCCCTGAGGGTGGTTGGGGACCTCCCTGAGGTACCGCTCCCCCCTCCAGGACCGTTGGGGACCTCCCTGAGGTACCGCTCCCCCCTCCAGGACCGTTGGGGACCTCCCTGAGGTACCGCTCCCCCCTCCAGGACCGTTGGGGACCTCCCTGAGGTACCGCTCCCCCCTCCAGGACCGTTGGGGACCTCCCTGAGGTACCGCTCCCCCCTCCAGGACCGTTGGGGACCTCCCTGAGGTACCGCTCCCCCCTCCAGGACCGTTGGGGACCTCCCTGAGGTACCGCTCCCCCCTCCAGGACCGTTGGGGACCTCCCTGAGGTACCGCTCCCCCCTCCAGGACCGTTGGGGACCTCCCTGAGGTACCGCTCCCCCCTCCAGGACCGTTGGGGACCTCCCTGAGGTACCGCTCCCCCCTCCAGGACCGTTGGGGACCTCCCTGAGGTACCGCTCCCCCCTCCAGGACCGTTGGGGACCTCCCTGAGGTACCGCTCCCCCCTCCAGGACCGTTGGGGACCTCCCTGAGGTACCGCTCCCCCCTCCAGGACCGTTGGGGACCTCCCTGAGGTACCGCTCCCCCCTCCAGGACCGTTGGGGACCTCCCTGAGGTACCGCTCCCCCCTCCAGGACCGTTGGGGACCTCCCTGAGGTACCGCTCCCCCCTCCAGGACCGTTGGGGACCTCCCTGAGGTACCGCTCCCCCCTCCAGGACCGTTGGGGACCTCCCTGAGGTACCGCTCCCCCCTCCAGGACCGTTGGGGACCTCCCTGAGGTACCGCTCCCCCCTCCAGGACCGTTGGGGACCTCCCTGAGGTACCGCTCCCCCCTCCAGGACCGTTGGGGACCTCCCTGAGGTACCGCTCCCCCCTCCAGGACCGTTGGGGCCCTCCCTGAGGTACCGCTCCCTCCT